GCCAAGCCCAGCACCAGAAATCCCCGTTTCAGCCCTCTCCCTCTCACGACATCTCCAAGCTTTCCAGTTTACCTCACCTTCCCTCTTCCTTGAAGCCCTTGTCGACTAAAAAATTATTCACCACCTAAAAGTTGAGAGTTATGTTTTATTCAGCGGGAAGTTTTAGGACTTCAAGCCGGGGAGGCAGCATCTCAAGTAACCCTGGGAGAACTGCTCCGAGGAGGCGGGGGCAGGTTATATATGAGTTTTGCAAGAAAGGCAGGTAGTCTGCACGTCAGAAGAGGACTGTTAATTAAAGAAACCCAGATATGTCAAGTTGAGGAATTTCGTGCTTTTCTAGGTATGGGAAGATGCGAGAGTCTGGGCTCACTGCTGTCATATCTTTGATATGCACCTCAGCTATCTGGGGCCAGGATCCTGTGTTTTCATATCCTGAGTTTCCTCAGGGCTCAGTCTAGGGAGTGGCTGCAGTCTGATGGCTGCCAGGTGGTAGATATTCTTTCCTTCCCGAGTTTCCTCAGGGCTCACAAGCTCACGCTGGAGGGCTGCAATCGCTGATGACTGTGACATCCTTTGTTTACTGATGTGGCAGGCAATATTCCATTTATCACCCTTTCCTCACTTGTATTGAGGTGGCATTCCTTGGTCCTTTTTTTTTGGTACGCGGGCCTCTCACTGTTGTGGCCTCTCCCGTTGCGGAGCACAGGCTCTGGACGCGCAGGCTCAGTGGCCATGGCTCACGGGCCCAGCCGCTCCGCGGCATGTGGGATCTTCCCGGACCGGGGCACGAACCCGCGTCCCCCGCATCGGCAGGCGGACTGTCAACCACTGCACCACCAGGGAAGCCCTCCTTGGTCCTTTCTCAAGAGGCCCCACTCCCGAATCTCACTGCCACCTGGGGTGATGGCAGTGCCATTGGCTCAGCCCTTGGACTCTTCCTCTTTTTCTCTTTATCCCTGTAAGTGAAGTTATGGCTTTAAATTCTGTGTGCTGACTCTCCAAACCACTGTCTCCAGTCCGTTTTTCTGGACACAAGGCTAAGCAGCCGACTACCTCATAAACATCCACGCTTGGATGTCTAATAACTATCTCAAATTGAGCACATTCAAAATAGAACTACTGATCACCACGCCTCAAAAAACATTATCATTCATCAGTATTCCCCATTTCAGCAAAGGAGGTACCCTGCCCTGGAGGCCCAGGCCTGACGCCCATTTCTTTCTACCTAGTCTACATTTAAATCCCATCACTACCCTCCGCCTCCACTGCTCCTGCTCTGAACTACTGCAAGAGCCTAAGAAGGGATCCCCCTGTTGCTGCTCTGGATCCCAATCAACTCTCCCCACATTTTGGCGCAAGTCTCTATGAACTGCCCACACCCTACCCGACCCCACGCTTCCTTGTTCCTGCTCACACTGGCCTCTTGAAGTTCTCCTAGCTTTACAAGCTCATTTTTGCTGCATGACTTACCTTCCCTGATGATTATATCTAAACCTGACCCCTGGTCCAAGGCACTCCCAAATAGGTAATACTCTGAAGGAAGCAATACCACAAATAAGCATGTAAGGTAGTGTTCAGCTTCACAGCTGTGGTGGAATTACTGGTCTGGATGCTTCACTTTACTGCAGTAGTGGCCTCCAGCCAAGATGACATCATGGTGAGTAGCATGGACTTTCTGTCCCTTGACATTGGGCTTGGTAGGTGACTTGTTTTGAAACTCCTGTGGCTGTGATGTGAGCAGAAGCTTGTTCTCATGTGTTTCTGCCATCGCCAGCAGTAGAATGTACGCAGATTGCCCATTGGTCCCAGGATAATTGAGACCCAGGGAGCAGACCTGAGCACACCCTATTGGCTGAGGTCCGGCCACCCCAGGGTGCATGAATGTGGAACAAAGTCTTATATGCCGTGGAGACTTTGTGGCTGTTTGTTACACAGCATTCTGGCAATAGCCAACCAATTTACAACATTGTGTTAGTTTCAAGTGTACAGCAAAGTGTATCAGTTATACATGTACATATATCCACTCTTTTTTTAGATTCTTTTCCCATATAGGCCATTACAGAGTATTGAGTAGGGTTCACTGTGCTATACAGTAGGTCTTTATCAGTTATCTGTTTTATATATAGTAATGTGTATATGTCAAACCTAATCTCTCAATTTATCCTTCCCTCCTCTTACCCCCGAGTAATCATTACTTTGTTTTCTACATCTGTGACTCTATTTCTGTTTGTTTATTTATTTATTTATTTATTTATTGGCTGTGTTGGTTCTTCCATGCTGCGTGTGGGCTTTTCTCTAGTTGCAGTGAGCAGGGGCTACTCTCTGTTGCGGTGCGCGGACTTCTCACTGTGGTAGCCTCTCTTGTTGCAGAGCATGGACTCTAGGTGCACAGGCTTCAGCAGTTGCGGCACGTGGGCTCAGTAGTTGTGGCTCACGGGCTTTGTTGCTCCGTGGCATGTGGGATCTTCCCGGACCAGGGCTCGAACCCGTGTCCCCTGTATTGGCAGGCGGATTCCCAACCACTGCGCCACCAAGGAAGCCCCTCTATTTCTGTTTTGTAGATAAGTTCATTTGTACCCTTTTTTTAGATTCCACACAGAAGTGATATCATATAATATTTGTCTTTCTCTGTCTGACTTATTTCACTCAGTATGACAATCTCTAGGTCCATCCATGTTGCTGCAAATGGCATTATTTTGTTCTTTTTTATGGCTGAGTAATAGTCCATTGTATATATGTATCAATCTTTTTCCATTCCTCTGTTGATGGACATTTAGGTTACTTCCATGTCCTGGCTATTGTAGATAGTGCTGCAGTGAACATTGGGGTGCATGATCTTTTCAAATTATGTTTTTCTCCAGATATATTTCCAGGAGTGGGATTGCTGGATCATTAAAAGTAGAGCTACTGGACTTCCCTGGTGGCACAGTGGTTAAGAATCCGCCTGCCAATTTAGGGGACATGGGTTCGAGCCCTGGTCCGGGAAGATCCCACATACCGCTGAGCAACTAAGCCCGTGTGCCACAACTACTGAGCCTGTGCTCTAGAGCCTGCGAGCCACAACTACTGAGCCCGCGGGCCTAGAGCCCATGCTCCGCAACAAGAGAAGCCACTGCAATCAGAAGCCCACGCACCACAATGAAGAGTAGCCCCCACTTGCCGCAACTAGAGAAAGCCTGCGCACAGCAACGAAGACCCAACGCAGCCAAAAATAATAAATAAATAAATAAATTTTAAAAAGAAAAAAGATAGAGCTACCGTATTTTTATAGGAACTTTTATACTTCACAGAGATAATTTTTCATCTATGAAACTGGCAATGATATATAGAGAGATAGAGACTATGAAATATGCGTTTGGTAAGGGCTCAGGAAACAGGGATGTTAATTTGCTGCTGGTAAGAGGGTAAATTGGTAGCAACCTGTTTGGAAGTCTTATTTGGCTATAAGTATTAAAATTATTACATTAGCTCAATACTTCTATTACTAAAAATTTATTCTAAGAAACAAAGACATGCACAGAGAATTATTGACAAGGATATTCACTAAAATGTTATTTCACAGTGTAGTAAAATGTAAATGTTAGTAGAGGACATTGTTGTTTTATAATTCCCAAATGATAGACACTAGAGCACTTCTAATACAGGCATCAGTTATGAGGAATGCTTAGCAATGTGCCAGGCAAATAGCTCTCTGAGCAAGGACTGGGACCCACTTCCATCCCATTGCCCAGACTTTACCCTCAGGGCTAACAACATGGAGTGAAACTCACCCACGGCTGTCTGCTCGCCCCCCCTGCTCCTAGGGGAGCAGAAATTCTGCCCTGAAGAACTGGAGGCAAAAACTGAGACAGGAACATCAGGTCCTGCAGCAGGGAGGGGCCCAAGGAGGCTCTGGCAGGAGCGAAGCGCTGCGGGGGAAGGGAACGCCATTGTTCTAGGGAAGCTACAGAAACGTACCATAATGACTTCACGAGCCTACTCCGGTATGGTCAAGTGGCCCTTGACGAAGCTCTTACCTATGATCTCATTTGATCTTCAGGTCAGGGCTGAGATGGACAGCGGTCACCAAAGCTCAAAGGAACGAGCTTCCCCGAGGTCTCCGAGTGAAAATGAGAGCTAACACCATGGGCACTCACGAAGCTGTGCTCTTCTAAGTTCTTTGAACATATAAATTCATTTAAGGTTCATAACAAGCCAAGGGAGGAGGCTCTCTCATCATTATTCTATAGATAGGAAGCAGAGAAACGCAGCGAGGCCACAGCCAGCTTGTAGCAGAGCAGGGGCATGAACTCAGGGGTCCTCACTCAGGGTCCACACACTCGGCCTGGATCCCAGCAGGCTCCTAGGTCCACCTCACTGGTTTTTTGGCTCTCAAACGTCTTCTCTGCCTCACTGTCTGGCCCTGGGAAAAGGGCAGGCTGAGGGCCAGGAGTAAGTGAATTGTCCTGGCTGGCCACAGTAGGGACTGCTTCAAAACGTACGGTTTCTTCTTCTTCTTTTTTTTTAATTTTATAAATTTATTTTTATTTTTGGCTGCGTTGAGTCTTCACTGCTGTACATGGGCTTTCTCTAGTTGCGGGAGCAGGGGCTACTCTTTGTTGTGGTGCGCGGGCTTCTCATTGTGGTGGCTTCTCTTGTTGCAGAGCATGGGCTCTAGGTGCACGGACTTCAGTAGTTGTGGCTCGCGAGCTCTAGAGCGCAGGCTCAGTAGTTGTGGCGCACGGGCTTAGTTGCTCCGCGGCATGTGGGCTCTTCCTGGACCAGGGCTCGAACCCGTGTCCCCTGCATTGGCAGGTGGATTCTTAACCACTGTGCCACCAGGGAAGCCCGTACGGTTTCTTCTTGATGAGAAGACCCCCTTTTAGGCAGGACAGAAGCACAGGAACGGGAGCGGCAGACCTCTCCCAGGCACGAGCCCGGCATCCGTTGTCTCACCGTGTGGGTGGGAGCTGGGAGGCAGGCACTCTAGGCTCTCACTCTCTTTGTTTCCTTCCCTCCAGAGCACAGACACGCCGCTGTGTACTGATGGAGTTCATCAGTCAGTGTGAGGGCGCGTTGCCGGAAGATGTGACTCTGTTCCCCCTCACCCTGAGGACAAGGCAGGGCCACCGCACGATACAACAACATGCCGATCTCCATGGATTCCCGAAACACAGGTCAGTGCCCCAGACACACAGTCGTGGTGATTTGCTTGCTTCTGTTCTGAACTCAGAGTCCTAGAAGCCCTCACTCGGTTCCCTGGGACAGTCTTACAGGTGATGTTAGCTGATGCTAAGAATCCTGTACCCATGAGTCTTTTTTGTAGTGTCATTTGCTGAGTATGCAATCCAGTCCTTCCCACCCTGGCTTTGAGACGGTCCTTTGTTGGACATGCAACTTCTGGCTTTTAACTTAAAATGGTTCTTCAGGCAAGCGTGGCAGGAAAGCAGAAGCCATCTGCTGAAGACAAGACTGAATGGCCTGGTTAAATTATTATAGTAACCAACAATATCAGGATAAAGAGAAGAAATAACTTTTCATGAGGTTTGATACAGAACTACTTCTCAGGGTTACCCCAGGGGCATGAGCACCGTGACATAGCCAACCTTCCGACTCACCCTGTAAAGCACACAGACTCTAAATGTTTTTTTAATGTAACATTTTTTCATACTCTGCATGTTCTGCATATACAAAATTAACCTCCTAAAGGTTGAACTTCACTTTTAGATTTTAGAGCTTTGCCTGCCCTGTGGGCTGGATAAGTAGGTCAGCCGGTCAGCTCTTCAATGTTGCATTAATAAAAAATGTGGAGCTAATTAAATGTAAAGGATAGCACTGTGCCTCTTATTCCTAGGGTCTCTTGCACGCGACTGCTGTGTCAGGTGACAGGTGAAGGAGCAAAAACCTCTGGGGCATTTGTTTCTTCAGGAAGCATCAAGATGGTGTGGGTGTAAAACCCCGTTGACAGCCTTGGTTTTTTCTGAGTTTAGTGTTTGCTCATAAGAAAGACAATACCAGATAGGCTTGTCTGAAGAGACTGGCCCCTGGCTGAGGCTGAATCCTAATTTCCTGGGAGTAAGACACAGGCACAAGGCTGTGGACAGAGAGTGGACAGGGCATGTGAAGCCAGGCCTTTTAGGATGTGGCACGAAGGGAGTAAGACTAGGAAGAAAAGCAAGAAAATCATTAAAACTGAGGATCAAAGTGAACACCCGGGTGGGTCAGGGGGATATGGCCACATCCGGGGCCAATGGTTTGCCCCCTTGAGTTACAGACTTAGGCTTAGGCACACACAGAAGATGTCTGAACATGATGGTGTGTCTACTTCATCCACTGAGACATAGTAGTACACTGGCCCTACTTCCTAGTGCTGTTTATGCCCTGCCTTTATAACCTCTCATACACATAATGATATTTATTCTTTTTTTTTTTTGCTGTACGTGGGCCTCTCACTGTTGTGGCCTCTCCCATTGTGGAGCACAGGCTCTGGACGCGCAGGCTCAGCGGCCATGGCTCATGGGCGCAGCCGCTCCGCGGCATGTAGGATCTTCCTGGACCAGGGCACGAACCCGTGTCCCCTGCATTGGCAGGCGGACTCTCGACCACTGTGCCACCAGGAAAGCCCAACATTTATTCTTTTAAGGTGCAAAACATGTTTACATACAAAAACTTGAATCCCCACAAAATCTATGCAAGCCTAAGACACAGCCCTGACACTCACAGCCCTGATTCTCCCTGACACAAATGTCCTATGCAAATCTGGTCTAGGAAAAACTCACCTTTAAGATGAGATGAGGAAAAGAATCTAGCGAAGGATCACTTTGGAGATCACTACATGAGAAAAGTCAAGGCAACACAAACGGTTGAGGAAGGACTGTTGCCACGAGGCCCATGAAAAGCACGACCAAACATCTTGTGTCAAGTGACACCAGATGATAGAGTCTCCTCTGCAAACAGGGGATACATGTGGAGACACAGAGATGAGGGGAAGAGGGCAGGACCTCAGAGATGAACCGTGACCTGGCAGAGCTCAGGGATGGAAAAGCCCTGCTCGGAAGTGATTTCCTCTGGGAGCAGGCAGTGGGGAAAAGAGGAGGGAGTCGCTACAAAGAGCCTCTTTCTCACCCTACTCAGTGTCTGAGCCCTCTGGACTGATTCCCTTGCAGGAGTGCTCAGGAGTTTGCGCATACATCTCCAGTGGCTGGGAGGCCTGTTCTAGGACTGCTCTATGATGAAGAAGGCCTTCCTTAGGACAGGCTGTTCTCTCTCCAACCTTGACTCCCCACTAGCTCGTCCTAGATCTCTTCTTTTTAGGGCTTCATGAACCTCTGGGCTCCCTCTCATGGGTCTCCCACCCATGTTCCCAAGTCTAAGCTCCTTAAATCCCAAATCCTTGATCTCTCAGTTGCTACAGCCTTGATCCATAGGCTCATGGTCCCTGAGCTCAGAGCCCTCTGCCTCCTGTCAAAAGTACCCTGGCCACCCCTTCTCCAGGACCCTTGAAACCCCACTTCTTTGTGTTCTGCCTCATTGCATCTGGACACCTGAGCATTGAATTAGGGATGGGGTGTGGGGACCTGGAAGTGATGCAGAAACAAGAGTTTAATGTTGTATGTCATCACCATGGAAACACCTGGTCCTGTGATCTGGGTGCAGCTTCAGGGATGTGGGACCAGAGTCAGACCAGCAGGGGCGCCAGTCTTCACTCCACAAGTGTTTCTGAGTGGCTGTTCTGCTAGGCCTCTTCTCTCCCCTGATCTCCTCGGAGCATTGGGTCCTTGGGAAGCATCGGGTTCCTGGGGCTCATTGAGGAACTGGGGAGCTCCAGGATTGAGGGGCTGCTCCACTGCAGGCTCAATGTGTGGCGGACACAGAACAAGTATCAGATAACGAGCTCATCACAGGGCACCCACAACTGACAAGGGCAGAATAAATGCCAGCTAAAGGAGACCATCAGGGGACCCTCAGAATTAAAGACAGGAGTAACTGAGTTGAGGCCGTTCACTACTCATCAGAGAGGACCAGAGAGTGGAGAAGCAAGTCTTGGAATAGAAATGCAAGAGGACTGGGCGTACCGGAAGACCCACATGGCCTGAGAACTCAGCACCTCTGACTCTGGCTTAGAAGAGGCCTAAGGCTTCAGAGCTGTGGCGAGGGCGGGGCTTTTAATGAAATAACATCTGTTAAGAAGGACTGGGTGACTTAAAGGCTGTACTGCCTGAGGAGCCATGGCCTGGGCCAGTTTCTTGATGTGCGCAGGCAGCCAGTGCTTACTACCATTTTTTTTTTTTTTTCGGTACACGGGCCTCTCACTGTTGTGGCCTCTCCTGTTGCGGAGCACAGGCTCCGGACGCGCAGGCTCAGTAGCCATGGCTCACGGGCCCAGCCGCTCCACGGCATGTGGGATCTTCCCGGACCGGGGCACGAACCCGTGTCCCCTGCATCGGCAGGCTGACTCTCAACCACTGCGCCACCAGGGAAGCCCCATACTACCATTTTATTCTTGGAGCTCCACTCTCCTTAAGACATTGAGTGAATCAACAATGAACTGAGCCAAAGTTTAAAAATATACGTACAGAAATGCAACAAGTGCTGGGACTTCCCTGGTGGTCCAGTGGCTAAGGCTCTGTGCTCCCAATGCAGGGGGCCCAGTTTCGATCCCTGGTCAGGGAAGTAGATCCCACATGCCGCAAATAGAAGATCCCTCCTGCTGCAACTAAGACCCAGCACAGCCAAATAAATAAATAAATATTAAAAAGAAAAGAAATGCAACAGGTGTTTTGAAAATGGCCAGATTGTGAAGAGAGGGCCAGAGCAACAGAGTTACCTTTTTTTAAACAAAATAAATTTATTTATTTTTGGCTGCATTGGGTCTTCGTTGCTGCGCACAGGCTTTCTCTAGTTGCGGCGAGCGGGGGCTACTCTTTGTCGCGGTGTGTGGGCTTCTCATTGTGGTGGCTTCTCTTTGTTACAGAGCACGGGTTCTAGGCATGTGGGCTTCAGTAGTTGTGGCTCACGGGCTCTAGAGCTTAGGCTCAGTAGTTGTGGCGCACAGGCTTAGTTGCTCCGAAGCATGTGGGATCTTCCCGGACCAGGGCTCAAACCCATGTCCCCTGCATTGGCAGGCGGATTCATAACCGCTGTGCCACCAGGGAAGCCCCAGAGTTGCCTTTTTAAAAACCCACATGGCTGGCATCCAAAAGCCAACTCCTGGAAGGTATTCATAAAAATCTTTCCAGAAAAATCACATCTGAGTCAAGGAGGCTCTTTTGGCCCGCCTCCTGGAATTGGAGAAGTCCTTCACAACCTATCAGTGGTGTACCAAACTGGTTCTCTAGTTTCTGAATATGCCGAGAATGGGCCTTTGCCTCAGCTAGGGAATCACCCACGAGGCCTCAAATAAAGTCAAGCCACGTGCAGAAGGCACAAGGCTGCACTCGCTGGGCCTGCAGAGGCGCACGGGGTAGGGGCAGCGGGAAGCACAGTGCTGGGATGTGCAGCAGCCAAGGCCTGAGATATGCAGAAAGGAAGAGGGAAATGAAAGGCACAAGAAAGTGCAGAGATAGAAAGGAACAAGCAAGAAACATCTGAGCAAGTAAAAACATGCAAGGAGAGCAGTCAAGAACTGCAGGAAAAATGACAGAAAGCCATGGACCCGCCTGGAACACACGTAGGCGTCCTTGGTACCCAAGAGCCCCCGAACGCCTCACCCCCGCCCCCTAGTGGCTGCAGGGTAAGCTCTGGTCAAGGACAAGACATAAGTGCCAACTCCAGGTGACTTTGCACAGAAGCACATCTTAAACTGAAGAGTTTCAAAGATCAAGCAGTTTAAAATCATTTCCAGGAAGACCAGGGAAGTGGGGTCTCAAGGCAACACCTCCTCTTTGTTTCATGGAATAGAATTTGGGCTTGAAGAGGGGCTTCCCGCAGGCCTCCACTTAGGGATTGAGAACTTTAGTGTAAATGTAATTATTTTCAAGCATTTTTTTTCTAGAATTTATTGTGAAGTGAAAGTTTTATGAATCTCTGCCAGATATATCTTATGTTTAAAGTTCTTCCTATTTGTGTATCTGTGGCTTCGTGTGAAAGAAAATTTTCAAAATTAAGGTTCATTAAAAAGTAAGAATAGGGCTTCCCTGGTGGCGCAGTGGTTGAGAGTCCGCCTGCCGATGCAGGGGACGCGAGTTCGTGCCCCGGTCCAGGAAGATCCCACATGCCGCGGAGCAGCTGGGCCCGTGAGCCATGGCCGCTGAGCCTGCGCGTCCAGAGCCTGTGCTCCGCAACGGGAGAGGCCACAACAGTGAGAGGCCCGCGTACCGCAAAAAAAAAAAAAAAAAAAAGTTAGAATAGGGAATTCCCTGGAGGTCTAGTGGTCAGAACTCTGTGCTTCCACTGCAGGAGGCACGGGTTCAATCCCTGGTTGGGGAACTAAGATCCTGAAAGCTGCGTGGCAGGGCTAAATAAATAAATGGCTGTTGTTTTTTTTAAAAAAAGAATACTTTTGTTTCTTATTTATTTTTTAATTAAAGTATAGTTGATTTACAATGTTGTGTTAGTTTCTGGTGTACAGCAGAATGATTCAGTTTTATATGTATGTATTACTTCAATTAGTATGTATATATATATATGTATTCTTTTTCATGTTCTTTTTCATTATGGTTTATTACAGGGTATTGAATATAGTTCCCTGTGCTATACAGTAGGACTTTGTTGTTTATCTATTTTATACATAGTAGTTTGTATCTGCTAATCCCAAACTCCTAATTTATCCCTCCCCAACCCCTTTCCCCTTTGGTAACCTTAATGAGTTTGTTTTCTATGTTTGTGAGCCCGTTTCTGTTTTGTAAATAAGTTCATCTGTATCATACTTTATTTTATTTGGCCGCACCTGGCAGCTGTGGGATCTTATTTCCCCAACCAGGGATCAAACTCTTGCCCTCTGCAGTGGAAGGCTCGGAGTCTCAACCACTGGACCGCCAGGGAAGTCCCTCAGTAAACACTTTTAGTCAACACGCTGCCATAAACTTGTGGTGTCCTGTAGTAGAATTCAGTTAGCAATGTTCTCAGAGTGTGTGGGAAGAAAGGTGAGTGGAAGCTGCTTCCATCAGGCTGAGTGGAGAAGCATGGGGCGGGGGTGGAGGGCTTGAGACCTGATCGCCCTCCCCAGGCAGCGGCCGGGGGTCACTTCCCCAGCCCCTCCCTCTGGCGCATGACCAGAAGCCTGTGGCGGCTGCCTAGACTCAGCCACCCAAGCCAGGTCCCATGTGCCACGGTGGTGCCCGATATCACCACCAGAGGGTGAGTGGGATTCAGCATTGTTTGGCCTTGCTCTCTGGACAACAGAATAAACAACCTGGCTTCTGTTTCAGGACACCAATCTGTTTAGCTGAGCTGATTGCCGTGCGGGTGAACCCCCATTTACTAGAGTTAGGTTTTCAAGAAAATTCCCTCTGCTCTTCAGGGTTATAATAAGGGGGTATTTCGTCCTGGTGTGACTTTGCAGTGTGTGTTTGTGAGGAGGGCATGTGCCCTCTCCCTGTACACCCCCCCCTCACCCCAGCTTCCCGACCCTGAGCCTCTCTGGCACTCCTGATAGTGTAAGTGCAAGACCTGCACACTGACAACCACGACGCTGCCAAGGGAAACCAGCAAGGACCTGAGCAAATGGAGAGAGAGTTCGTGTTCATGGGCTGGAAGATGCAATATGATTAAGACAGCAATTCTCTCCGAAGTATCTATAGAGTCACTGCAGTCTTTTAAAAAAATCCCAGAAGCTTTTTACAGAAATTGGCAAGCTTATCCCCTAGGGCAAAAACAGCCAAAAGAATTTTGAAAAAGAACAAAGTTGGAGGATTTATGTTTCCCGACTTCAAAACTTACTATAAAGCTTCAGTAAAAAAGAAACAAACAAAAAACAGTATGGTGCTGGCATATGGATAGGCATAGATATCAGTGGCACAGACTAGAGAGTCTGTTGCAGCAAAAATAGAAATGAAGTTTTCCCTCTCCTGAGAACAAGGAAAATAAAGGGAACAGGGAACAGGCTAGAGAAGAGACATAACCTGGCCTGAAAGAATTAATCACCCCTAGTTTTTTTTTTTTTTAACTGTTACTAATCTGTAGTGTCTGTAAATAGATTTTACTCCACAAAACTAACCTATTACTCTTTAACACTATGTGAATTACATCCTGCACTCCCTTGTAACATTTGCATTTCAGAAAAAAGTTGCAGGCTGATAACCAGAGACAAACGGACCCAGTAACAGGGCTGCCTGACGCCAGCACTGACTGTTTTGAAATAATGCAGGAAGAAGAAGAATGCAGGACCTTCACTACTTTGATCCTTATCATATACCCTGGACTGCTAGCCCCACATATAAAATCTTCTCCCATTCCCGAAGGGGGTGTGGGCACAGTTCTTGAGGCGCTAGACTTCTGTCTTCCCTTCTGCCTGGCAGAAAAATAAAGCCATCTCTCTCTTCCTCCAAAATCTCTGTCTCCGTATTTCTGTATTTCTGTCCGGCATTGGTGCACAGGGAAGCCAATATTTCGGCAACAAGTCTAGAAATAAACCCTTACATTTATGGTTCATTGACTTTCAACAAAAATGTCAATGCAATTCAATGGAGTGAAAGGATAGTCATTTCAGCAAATGGTGCTGGGACAAAGGAATTAATGGTTGCCTGGGGTTGGGGTAGGAATGGGGAAGGACTGCCCACGGGGTGATAGAAATGCCCTAAAACTGAATTGTGGTGATAGTTGCTCAACAGTACAAATTAACTAAAGATCATTGAATTTACACCTGAAATGGGTATATTCTATGGGGGAGGGAGAGGTAGACACCTCAGCCTGGAAGCAGGTCAGGCACTGGTGTGCTGAGGTGGGAGGGTCTGTAGTGGACAGGCTGGGTCTCTACCTTCTTCCCCACACCCTTGCTGAGCCTTTCGGAGCCTCTGCCCCTTCATTTTCGTAAACTAGGATAATGACACTTGTAGGCGGTTGGGGAGGGTGGAAGGAAGGCACCATAGGGCCAGCTGTGCCCTCCCTGTTGGGGTCCCACTCAGCTCCCAGAGCTGGGGGCAGCAATCCCTGACCGGGAGCCTCCCACTCTGGCTTCAGAGCACCCAGGGGCCGAGAGGGTCTGGCCAGCACCGTCCTGAAGGAGTAGCATGCTGCCCCCATGTACACTTTTCTAGTGGCTGCATTTAAAAAGTAAAAAGAAACAGGTGCAATTCATTTAAATAGTACATCTTATTTAACCTAATTCACTCTACATATTATCACTGACATGTGATCATTTTATTAATTATCAATAATACATTTTACATTCTGTTTTTCTTACAAAGTCTTCCAAATGTGATGTGTATTTTTCACTCATAGCGCGTTTCAGTTTGGACCAGCCATATTTCAAATGTCCAGATAGCCTCCGCTCATTTTTTGATTGGATTGGTTTTTTTGTGGTTGTTATTGAGTTGTATGAGCTGTTTGTATATTATGGAAATTAAGCCCTTGTCGGTTGCATCATTTGCAAATATTTTCTCCCAAACAATTAGCACAGGTGCTAAGACCACTGGATACCCACATGCAAAAGAATGAAGTTGGATTCTTACCTCACTCCATATACAAAATTAACTCAAAATGGATCAAAGACCTACATATAAGAACCAAAATTATATAACTTGTATTGATAGAGGAAAACATGAGAGTAAACCTTCATGACCTTGGATTCAATGATTTCTTAGATCTGATACCAAAAGCACAAGCAAGAAAAGCCAAAAGAGATGAATTGGACTTCTTACAACGAAAAAGTGTTGTGCATAAAGGAGAAAGGGAAAAGATAATCCACCCTCCAAAATGGTACAAGGTGTTTGGCAATCACGTATCTGATAAAGATCTGTAGCCCACCAGCCAAGACTGAGAGAGATGTACCCAACTCTGCAGGACACTTCATTGGGCTTAGAGGGTGACTAGGAAAGAAATCAGTCTGGCAGGTGCCCAAGGCCAGTGCGGACCCCAGGGCTGGGGAGGGAGAGGAGGAAGGGCTGAGAGTTGGCGTTAGAACGGATGGCCACTAGAGGACGCCAGAGCACCAGCGGGTGTTGGCGGAACTCCACGGATGTAACCAGAGAGGAGGTGCTGGTTATCGGGCGGCTCTGACTCTCCCACCCAAACTGCCTCGTCTCACAGAGGGGCACAGAGGTCTGCCTTCAGCATTTGATGGGGGCACTTCTAGCCTGGTCGGGTGGCCTAGTGGTTGGGACAGCCTAACAGGCTGTCTGCGGACTGACTGCCCTTTGTTTCTCCAGAGGCAGGACTCTGGAACCCAGAAATACCTGGCTTGACTCATGGGATTGCAGCTGTCAAGCTGCAGGCCTGCGTGGGTGTTGGCATCTAGAAAACAAGGCTGTTAATCCTGAAAGTGGAGCCTGTAAAAGCCCTGGTATTTTGGTGGGTGGACTGTGCTCATCCCTGTTTGCTTTCTTCCTTTGCAGAGTTCTCCCCTAACTTCCTTCTTCCCTTTTCATCTGAGCCTCTTCTGTCCCCACACCCCTGCCGGGTGGACCTTAGCAAATCTCAAGTATAATATCCCGTATAATTAACTGTTTCAGCAGGCTGTATTTAGATCCCCAGAGCTTATTCATCCTGCATAACGTAATTTTTGTAATCGTGTCACCGACATCTCCTGTCTTCCCACGCAAGTTCCCGACAATCAAGATTCTGCTGTGTTTTGTGAGTTGGACTTTAGTAGATACCAGATGTAATTGAGATAAAAGTGTTTTCTTTTTGTGGTTGCTTTTTCCACTTAGCATAATGTCTTTCAGGTTCATTCATGTTTTCCCAAATGTAAGAGGTCATTTTTTTTAAGGCTGAACAATATTCATTCTTATATATCACATTTTCTTTATCTATTTCTGCTAGAGACCAGGGAAACAATAATAGGATGGCACCTCTAATTTCTAGATGCCTAAATTAAATAGATAAATAAAATAAAAATTGATAACATCAAATTTTAGTGAGAACTGAGAGGAGTAAAAATTACCCTGTATAGAGCTCATGGGCACATAAAAAATACATCCAGGGATTCCCTGGTGGCTCAGTGGTTGAGAGTCCGCCTGCCGATGCAGGGGACACGGGTTCGTGCCCCGGTCCGGGAAGATCCCACATGCCGCGGAGCGGCTAGGCCCGTGAGCCATGGCCGCTGAGCCTGCGCGTCCAGAGCCTGTGCTCCGTAACGGGAGAGGCCACAGCAGTGAGAGGCCCGCGTACCGAAAAAAAAAAAAATCCAGTTGGGAAAACTGATTGGTTTTTACTTATAAACTTAAAACTTTATTGGGAGCTCCCTGGCGGTCCAGCACTTAGGACTCCGTGATTTCACTGCCAAGGGCACGGGTTCAGTCCCCCATCGGGGAACTAAGATCCTGCAAACCAGGTAGCGTCGCCAAAAAACAAACAAAAACCTTTATCTATGCTATTAGAAAAAAGAGTAAAAGTAAATACAAAACAATGAAAACTCTCTGAAGTTCTTTTTTTTAAAGTTTTAAAAAATATATTATTTGTTTAATATTTATTTATTTGGCTGAGCCGGGTTTTAGTTATGGCATGTAGGATCTTTAGTTGCGGCCTGCAAACTCTTGGTTGCGGCATGTGGGATCTAGTTCCCTGACCATGGATCAAACCCGGGCCCCCTACATTGGGAGCACAGAGTCTTAGCTACTGGACCACCAGGGAAGTCTCTCTCTGAAGTTCTAAGACACCCTTACTTTCTGTATTCCTCCAGCCATCTATAATCAGCTTCTATTTTGTGCAAACGTTTACAAAAAAATCAAGAGTAGGGAAACAGAAACAAAGTTGAGTCCCAGTATCTACATCCTCATGGTTGTTATGGGACTCCTAATGCCAAAATCCCAGGGTATTATGAAGATTAACTCCAATAATATCCATGAGGTTTCCAAAACAGTGCATTGTAACCTACTTGTAAACACATAACAGATGTGTTGTGTTCAGTAACACATGTTCAGTGATTGTTGCACTAATGACTATATATATGTTGTTTTCCAAATAGAGACATACTCAGATGTTACAGCCTTTATTAGCCTTCTGTAAACTTTGATGTGCCAGCCAAACATGTGATCCTTCAAAATTGTGATGGTGGCCTTTAATGGTCTTTAATAGTTGTTTTGAGATAAAGTGGTTGATGTAAGGGGCTGAGTTGTGATGTGCCTACTTTCTCTAGTGCTACTAATAACGGGTCTGGGGGAGCAGCATCGGCACAAGGAAGAAAGTTGTTAAAGATGCCAGTTCATGCCGTTCCAAACCTGCAGAATCGCAATTTCTTCCATGGGTGCTGGAATGCTTTGTATGCATATTAAAGTTTGAGAGGCAAGATTTACATAAGTGCTTACAATAAAGATGATATGGCTAGTTTTTTTGTGTGTGTGTGTGTGTTACGCGGGCCTCTCACTGTTGTGGCCTTTCCCGTCGCGGAGCACAGGCTCCGGACGCGCAGGCTCAGCGGCCATGGCTCACGGGCCCAGCTGCTCCGCGGCATGTGGGATCTTCCCGGACCGGGGCACGAACCTGTGTCCCCTGCATCAGCAGGCGGACTCTCAACCACTGCACCACCAGGGAAGCCCTACATGGCTCGTTTTAATAACTACTATCAACTATGACCTCCTTCGCAGATTCTGCCTGAGAGCACTTTTTTTTTTTTTTTTTTTTTGGCTGTACTGCACAGCATGTGGGATCTTCATTCACTGACCAGGGGCCGAACCTGCGCCTCACGTATTGAAGGCTGATTCTTAACCACTGGACCACCAGGGAAGTCCCACATTTTAATAAATATGAAATGTAGTTAACTTCAATATTATATTTGATTCAAGTGTACAACATAGTTTCAAGTGAGCAACATAATTTATATAGATGACAAATAAATTTGCTTTAATTACGTTCTCCAGGCAATTCCAGGGAGAAACCAGGGTTATGCAACAGGTCTCGCAGGTATTTTTGTGGTGTGAGAGTTGAGTCCAGCCTTTGGTTCAAGGAAATGTAATAATAGAGTCTGTGTGAGTGGGTCAGGTCAGTGCACCCCACATTCCCCATTCCTGTAGCACCAGTAGTAGCTGAGTGTGAGACAGAAGGGCCTATGGAAACAGGGAAGGAGAATATCACGTTTTGGTCTCCGTGTAGGAGCTCATTTTCTTCTGAATCTGTCATGTGTCAAAGGATAGGGGAGCGTGGCCTTTCTGCATATGAAGGGCCTTCTGCCTCTGAGTGTGCAGGTAGCAGGTGAAAGTGCTGTGCCGATGTCTTCAAGGGTGTACAGGTGTGATTTCTCTACACAATATCGCCTGCGAAAGAAACCTGGAAATGGAAGAGGAAGAGGAAGAAATGGTAGGTTCTCAGGTAAAATTTGTGATCCAGATCAGCAGCCGTGTCACCTTTTCTTGCTGAAACCCCATGTATTTAGAACTTGCAAACATTTACTTCGGTACCTCTGGTAGTCCTGCCTAAAAAATTTGTTTTCAATACTTTTCCTTTTTTCCTAATGATAGCCAAGGTTAGATCTCTAGGCTATTCCTCTCTTATATCCCATTGCCTTTTCTCCATTTTCTCCATCCAGGTTCCCTTTACAGCATAAAGAATTTCTACCATGAATTACTGATGTGCAAATATTGAAAATGTTCCCTTTTTGTCATATCAACTTGAGGATGTGTTGATATACAGGATTCTCACTGAATATGAGGTTGGGTCCTGGGATATCAGTGAAGACAGAGAATATGTAATATTTAGGTCCTGTCTGGATGCAGGATCAGTCTAGGAAGACAAGGATAATGAAAATGTACCAATTAAGCTGATTGCTGTAGGGCCTAGAATAACCCAGAGTTCTGAAAAATAGAGCTCTCAATTGCCTCAAGGAAAGACTTCCTATTTAAAATACACAAGAGTACAGGACATGAGAGTTATATGTGGTTTTAAATGTGCTTAACACTGTTCTCATGATTAGATAAATGTTTTTTGGTTTGCTTTTTTCTTTGCTTTCTTGCAAAACTGTTCCAGCAATGATGAGGCCTGTGTGCATGGGTCAGATGATATCAATTTGTCCCATTACAGCTGACGTTAATTTTGTTCACTTGATTCAGGGGCTATCTGCCAGATTCCTCAACTGAAAAGCTAATAATTTTCCAATTATTGTTAATAGGGTCTTGGAGGGATTTACTAAGAGATGTTCATAAACCATCACATTTCATGTGAATACTACTGTCGTCTTCATTTCCCTTTACTTGTAGATTGCTTTGGAAAATGAAGGCTTTCACCTTTGTTCAGGTTTTGTTAGTAAGAGTTCTGTAAATGGTCTTTTAAATTCCATTGTCATTTCAGTTATTTTCTTGTTTATTACTTTTTGTATCTCCAGGAAAAGAAAACAAGAGTCCTATAGTATATGTTCAAGTATCTTAAAATGCTATAATATAATCAGCACAAATGAGAAATGAAATAATTTCATGGAAATAGGGATTTGTTGATGCAAAGAAAATCTTCATGATATTTCATCTTGTCCTACTCATTTCTTGAGTTGATCTGCATCTTTCACTCTAGATCAGTGACAATTCTAGATACTTATAAAATTAAATAAGATATTGTTGTTCACATCTTAAAATCAGATATCCATCCTTATTTTTTTTTTTTGGCCACACAGCACGGCTTGTGGAATCTTAGTTGCCCCACCAGGGATCGAACCTGTGCCCTTGGCAATGAAAGCACGGAGTCTTAACTAGGGAATTTCCTCCATTCCTTTTTTTTTTTTTTTTTCCAGTACACGGGCCTCTCACTGTTGTGGCCTCTCCCGTTGCGGAGCACAGGCTCCGGACGCGCAGACTCAGCGGCCATGGCTCACGGGCCCAGCCGCTCCACAGCGTGTGGGATCTTCCCGGACCAGGGCACGAACCCGTGTCCCCTGCATCAGCAGGTGGACTCTCAACCACTGTGCCACCAGGGAAGCCCCCATTCCTTATTTTTGATTGAGTAGTACTTGGAAGTAGAGTTATGGATCTGCAAATTAGAAATACTTCCTAAGTGTTTTAAAGGGTCTGTCAGGAAGTACTATTTGGTAAAGTAATTTTCTATAACTTACAGAATCCTCTCTACTCTACTGAACATAGTACTGGATTGGAAATTATAGAATCCCCAGGATGAGTCATCTTCCTTTTTTTAAATAAACAGGTCTTTTCTGTCTCTAAGCTGAACCTGTCACCTTTTTTGAGCAAAGGAAGGAACCCTGGGATGTGA